TTGTTAAATCAATAGAATAATAATCAGACTAAAATTAAGAATTATCATCCTGTAATATATTATACAGACAAAACGAATTAGATTACAAAAATAATTATATAAATAAAAAATCATGAAATCATTCTCTCATTTCGTTTCCACTTATAATGTTGAACTTTTTCAAAATTACGAAAATTATTCTCCTATCTATCCTATCATATATCTCTTCATTCCCAATCATTATTTATCTATCGATCGTAGCTCTAGTGATGCATGGATCACAGGATGATACATAATAAATCAAATAACCAATAAATAACGAGCATTGTCTCCATATATATATGAATAAAAAAAACTTTTTTATCACAAACTTTATCGTAATATTTTTACATGCTTATCTGCTTCATTAAATCTCACGTATGGAATTCTCATGCTGCATGATACGAAGAATGAATCTCCCTTTCGATCTAAATTTATCACCGAACGATATATCATTTTGCAATTTGAACAAGGTTGTACATTATCAGAAAGATTGAACGTTGGGTATCGTGTATCGAATCCTCGATATATATATATATCGAACAATCGATCCGCGACGCGCACTGTTTGCTCCTGGGCCGAGATACCCGCGGAATTAATTTGCAACGGTAATCGCATTATAACAGCCCACCACACGATCGTTAATTATCCCATCTTGATGCAAATTCGATTTCGAGATAAACGTATCCAGTTCAACTATTTCAAGCATTTGGAATTTTTTAATTTTTGTTACATAAATATTCAAAACTTTCTTATTTACATCCGATATAAAAAATTCCCCCCTCTCTCCCGTTTTTCTGTTACTTCAATCCTAAATAATTTATTTAGTCGTAAAATGTGTATCGTTCGAGTAATGATTTATTACTCGATGGACAATTCATTAATTTTGATTCAATCACGATTACTCGGCTGACAAGGGAGTTTTACTAATTGGAACAAAATTGTCGTGATGATGATTTTAATTTTAACGCTATTAAAAAGTTATTAGATCTTATTTGTTCCGTAAAAGTATAAAATTCAATTAAAAGGTTTTTAATGTCGTTTAAAAAGCATAAAAATCCACCGCTGAATAACTTTTTAATCGTGTCGATACCACGTTCCGTTTCCGAGATATCGTCGCTTAAAGAGGGCCGTAATTTTTAATGCTTAAATTACATCTCTCTCTCTCTCTCTCTCTCTCTTTCTCTTTCTGTTCGCGCCGACTCACTGACCTACCTCACTCTAGTCACGCACACGTGGTGGTCAGCGACAGTCGTTGAATCGGCGGCTTTTTATCATTGCTTCTAGCAATGTACGTTTCCAGGAAAAAGTAGGTTAAACGCCGATACAAGTCCATCGCGAATACGCGGAACACATTGTTAGGGAATTTGAAATCTATTTTTTCTTTATCTCGAACGTGAATTGAGATACCAGCAACAAAGTCTTTTTTTACAAGACTGAGCTTTTTCTTCTGTATAATTTTTAAAGAAGTAGGTATATTGGTTTGCTGTCAATCGATACAATAGGCCATTCGTAATACACTGTAGAAATTTAACACCAAATTTTTATATCCCGAAACTGAATTGAGCTTTTTTACACGAATTAAAAAGCTTTTCTTTTTTTTCAATTTTTATATAATTCTTTAAAAAGTATTCGTGATGTTTGTTTTGTTTAATCAATATTACTCCATGTATATATTGAAAATTCAATTTTTATCTTGAAAAATGAATTTTGTTAATATCAGCAACAAAGCGATTCCTGTTTAATCTTTTTACAGGAAATATTCGTCGTATTTGTTTTGTGGTTTAATATTGTTAATTGACTTGCTGCGGTTATTTGTATTAGTTTGAGACCATAGTTAATAAGATAAAGTTCTGAACCATTAAAACTAATATATGATTAGGTGGTGTTTGTTCCCACAAGCGATCACCCATTCACCTATTAAATTATATAAGCTTAAACACAACAAGGATTATTGTTAATTGTTGTTATTATTGTTAAACATTAATACTAATCTTGTGGTTATTAAATTCCCAAGGACCTAATAAATAAATATATATATATATATTATATGTACACATTAAATGCAATTTGGAACTATCAACACAACAATTACATAATTAAGTATGTTGTTTCTCAAATGGTCACCCATCCAACTATTGACCATGACCAATGTAGCTTGATTTTGGGAACAATTGAAAAACAATGTTGTTTCTATACCACAAAGATCATTAACTTTAATGGAAGTTATAAGAAATTATATATACTGAAAAATTATATATGAATAATATTGAATATTTAAAAAAAATTGTTTAACTATTTTTGAATTGTTTGTAAAATTTTAAAAATTTCACTTTTTAAAAATTGAATTAAAATTAAGCCATATGAATACATATGTATTTCAATAATAGATATTTTTCAAGGGAAATTTTGAATTTCTTTAAAATATTTAATTATTAAATATTTAACATTATAATTAATACATATTAACAATGATCTGTTGATTTCTGTTTGAATTTGCTTTCAATTACTCGATATATGCCAATAAAGTAATGGATGTATGATTCTAATGATATGTATATTAATCTACGTAATTTAACTATAAATCTACATGTTTTAGGATTAATAGTGCAATAAGAGTAATCAATAATTTTACCAACAACCGATTGTAAATAATTTATGAAAATATTGTTTCACATTATAATTATTAATGTTGCATAAAATAATTCTTGGAAATTGATAAATAATTAATTATTGTGGCCTGTTTTTCGTCACGTTACGAACCAAACTCGTTTAACAATAATTAAATCCGTTAATTTTTAAAACGAACAACGGTTACTATTACTATTATGAGAAGATTCCGTTTTATCTCTCGTTAAATAAAATATTATCGTTTCGTATTTCGTATTCAAATTCGATCTAATTAACTTTTTAACAAAGAAAGAATAGTAAATTAAAATAAACACGCTGTTTTAAAAAGTGTGTAATTTCGTCGCGTAAAAATTTTCTTCCGTCGCAAGAAAGAGCGTTCTCTCTCTCTCTTTCTCTCTTTCTCGATAATAAATTTGTTAAAAAATATTTCACAATCAAGAAGGATATTTTTCATTTGTTTTTATCCAACGTTATATCGCCAAAGTCGCTTACACAATACCGCTTAATATTTCAACTGACGAAAAAATATTTACCGAGTGAAAACTGTTGCAAAAAAAGTTAAAAATTGGTTTTCTACAAAGGATTACGTTCCCAATAATTCTGAATTCTTCCACGAATTTCATCGCGTATCGTAACGTGACTCGAGGAACCACATTGCGCTACGAAATATATTTTTCATCAAAAAAAAAAAAACCATGTAAATACGATTATTTACATACCTTCAATTATTTTTCATGAATTTTCAAGCTTTTATATTTGCTTACAAAAATATGTTTTAATTCTTTTTTTTTTAATTACATTTCAAACAATTTTTTTTATTCAAGTCCGAAATTGTAAAATTGAAAAATTAAAAAAAAATTAAATTGAAAACGTAATAAAAATGTGTATAAATATTTACATATTTCTTTTTAGAATTGTTTCCCCCTGCTTACCATTTCAATCTACCATGATTAAACGGAAATTGCGCCAATGAAACGGAGATTCGGATCGAGCGTCAATCGAATCAAATCAATCATTAACATATCCAATCTTCTGTTCGAACTGTTCAACTTTGAAAACGTCCGATCATTGGTAATATATCGAAACAAGTACAGATTCGATCTAATTGCGAGAATTTCGCTTTTCAGTGAATCCTCTCCTAAATCTAATTCTAAATTAAATGCCACGTTGAAGAATTCACATTGCGTTAATTTGTTACACATGTATATAAAATAAAATAAAATAAAATAAAATAAAATAAAATAAAATAAAATAAAATAAAATAAAATA